CGGGGGGGGGGGGGGGCTGGAGCGCAGTGTGGTGGTGAATGCGGGGTAAGGTTTGGAGTAGGACGCGCCGTAGGGGGCTGGAGAGGAAGCCCGTGCAGTGAAAAGAGATCTTTGGGTCGTGACAGGATAGTGAAAACGAGGAGGGAGGGCTGGAGTTGAATGGAGGGGGGGGGGACTGGGCCCCTGGTAGGGAGTCGCCATGGGTAGATGAGGGGGGACCTTGCGTGTTCAAACGACGTTGGGTGTGTGTAGTGGGGAGAGGGCTGGACCCCAAAGGGGTGAGATGGTGGGGCAGTGGAAGGGGAAATCAGAAGCGAAAGGCACGTGTATTTATGGGAGGGGGCGCAAAACTGACAACAGGTGGGGCACAGAGTTGAGGGCGACAGTCCTGCCTGCAGGATTGGGATAAGAGAGAGGGGTGAAAGGTTGTGCAGGAACAAGACATCTGGAGGGGGGATAATGAGGAAGAGAAAGGATGTGGATGTGGAGAGATAAGAACCATGGGGAGGGATGTGGGGAGCTTTTGTAGTAAGAAAAGATAAGGGAGGTTCATGGGATCATGACATGAGATTTGGAACTTGAAGAGTAGTGGTGAGTGGAGTTAAAAGTACTGCACAGGGAAGTTTCATCAGAAGAGAAGAGGGAGAAGGACCTGAGTGTTGTGAGAAAGGAGCCATAGGGAGGTGGAGGGAAAGGGAGAGCGCAGGTGGGAGATGAGAAGCCTGGTGTGGTATTTCGGATCCAAGGAGTTTGACGTTGTATTATGCAGGTTTTTTGGTCGTGGGGAGGGAGAAATGTGGAGAGAGGAAGGAAAGCTTTGGGCTCCTGGTATGGGATATTTATTTATGAAGCAGAGGGGGGTGTTTTGGGAGAGCTTGGTAATGAAGCTGACTTGGAAAACTGAAGGGGGGGCGGATAAGGTTTTCTGGGGAGTGATCATGGGGTTAATTAGAGCTGTACTGAAAAGATGTGACAGAAGGAAGGTGGTGTAGTTTATTGAGAGGCAGAAGTATGCCCAGGACATCTTGTGAATGCTTGCTTCACCCCCGGAATGTGGAAAATAATTATGGAGTGACTCTGAGCATATGCAAAGTGTCTTTCCCCAGAACCTCAGTCTGCATATGTCTGCATGATAGGAAGTGTAATTTACGGCAGGCTGGAGCCCCAAGTCATTTGCTTTGTGGGAGGAAGGGGAGGGGGCAGATGACAGCCCTGAGTCATGATATGGCGTGTCATATAATCACGTGGCTGGAGGATTTGTGGTGGGGCTGATCTCCTTCTGTATATATTTTTTTTCTTTTTCTCTTTCCCATCTTTAGGATTCAGAGTGTAACCAACATTGTCCAACATCAGACCCTGGAATATGCATTTGTCCCTGGTAACTAATGAATTCCAAAAAGAATTTGGGTCCTTGGCTGGTGTGTTTAATATATTCCCCCCCACAGGTTCCTAGCTAGCTCTTGAGTGTTACCCACACCGGTTGGAAATGCCGTTACAGTAATTACAGTGTAGACTGAGGACCCTTCGCATTGCATTGGAGTGATTTCCCCAATCTTATTTTAGTAAACTTGCTTTGGATTTTTGTTTTTTTGGGATGATCACCTCTTAATGCAACCAAGTGTCAAGAATGCTGGCCTATCCAGAGTTTAGAAAATTGTGGAACCCCCTTTTAAGAAATTATTTATGCAGTTAGCATAGATTTACAAAATGTACTATTTTCATTAGAACAGACTAAAAAAAGTGGCCTTTGATGTCGGAGAATGCCGATATCCTAACTGCTCAGGAGGAAACTGGCCATCTTAGAACGTTGACAAACTGTGAAGCTTTCTTGGTTGGGAAAAATCTCATGTAGGGCCTCTGGCCAGACATTTTGGCCTGTAATGTTTGGCAAGGGAGCTTTGCACATCACGAGCTTTCATTTTTTGACTAGGAGGCAAGCTATGCACTTGTTCACACTTACAAGCTTGTTGCTTTATGCTACTTAGGCTGTTAAAGCTGGAGCCCTGGTACCCAAGCAGCAGATGAGGTAGTAAAAACAGTGTAGCCTTTGGGAGGGCGGTATAGAAATCTAATAAATAAATAAAATAAAAAACAGTTTTTGGATTGTGCACCTTGAATGCTTCCCTGGGAAGGGGGAGAATTCCTGCATCTAGATAACGAATGCAGAGGGCAAAAGAATACTGGCCTAACTAAGGTGTGATTGACAGTTGGCTGGTCAATGTCGCCTGCTGATTATTGTTTAACCACAGTCAAATTTTGCAAATAATTCTTTAAAAAAGCCAAATATTTTCTGAAACCAAGAGTGCCTCTATAATAGGTGGCAGCTTACCCTTTTATTTCATTATGGTGTCAGCAGGAGTGCCGTGCAGCATTCCGAGGCAAGTCTAGCAAAGTTTCTCCTGCTGGCTAAGAGCTGCAGGCATTTCCAAGCAGGAAGAATTATCCTGCTGTCTTTTAAAATGGCTTTTAAAAAGTAATTCCTATTGTTTTGTTTTATTCCTATGTTAATTTCATATTTTTGTTTAGTTTTTTAACTGTAGGCTGACTCTGGTATTCCTTGAGAAACTGCAAAGGGAAGATCGGTTAGATGAATAGCTCACATGTATAGAATCCTTACCTAACATTGTTAAGTTATGAGTCATTACAATTTTCTTGTTTGGCAACAAGTTAACTCATTTGTTCTTTGTAATTAATGTAAGTATCAAAGGTGTTGATTATTAACGTGTCTTTTTTGTTCTAATGAAGTTAATGCCTTAAAAATATTTGGGCAGGAAATTGATCATATTTTTTTTTTTAACCAGACAAACTGTAAGTTTTAGACTTGACCATTTCCCCAGTATGACAGCTTTTGTGATGTGTAGGGATCCCCACCCCCCCAAAAAAAATCCTGTTGGGGAAATGGTTAGGCCAGAACTGTTCTCCCTGGTGCGCTAGCTTTCTAACTGCAGGGACTCAGAGGGTTGGGGGGGGGTTGGTGGTTTGACTCTGTTGTTGTTGTTTTTGCTTGGGAAGTATTTAATCTTATGGTTCCTCTCACCCGAAGAACAGTTTTGTTTATGGATCTTATGTCGTGTGTTTTAACTTTTGTTCGCAAAGCAGTGTAGACAAATTAACTCATTTCAATTAAGACAAGAAGTCTGGGATGTTTTTAAAAAGCCAAGAACCAAAAAGCTGTACAACAGGAGGAGAAAAAGCAGACTTCCAGAAGCACAATGGAGGAGGGCTTGTCTTAGCTTTTCTCTCTGCATCAGTATTTTGAAAACAAGCAAACATCCTTTGGAAGAACATAGCAGAGTTCTGGAGCTTCAGCAGAAAAGAGTACATGACACTGCCCTTCTCCCAAGTCAAGCTTATACCTTCTCTTGCTTCGACTGGCCATAGCTGTTAAGCGTCTCAGGAGGAGAAAGCGGTTTCCCATACCTGAGACCCTTGAACTAAAAATGCCCGAGGTGCGGTTTTTTTGTTTTTGTATATGGCATCTCTCCGAAAGCTTTGCTGTTTGTGGAAATGAGCTTGGTCTGTGCAAAATCTGAATCAAGACCTTCATTGGCAAGTGTCCCACCTTGGGGAGGGAGGATAAATCCCTGGTAGGATGGTTATCACTGAGGCTCAGTTCCAATAGGCTAAAGCTGCTGCCTTAAATTGGGCTCAGAGACAGACTGGGAGCTGGTGTAGCTATAGTACGATAAACATGTTGAAATCTATCTCTGCCGCCTTCTGCCTGGTATTCAGAACCAGTTGGCATTTCTGAGTAGCCTTTGTCTTACCCTCTCCACTTGCTTTTTCATATGGACTGAGTCCAGCTTGCAGTATCGGTGTGCTACAGAAAAGGTTCCCCCCACCACCACATACATGCCTGTGGACATTTCTGCAAGGTAGTGAGGGCTTGGAACTGGCAATTTTAGCTATAGTTGTGCCAGGTTTGACTGTTGAGATACTGCAATACATTGTAGCTTGGAATGAACAAATTCTTAAAGCGTGGTACGGACATCTCACTCCCCCCTCCCCGCTATTGAATCTGTGCCACAGTGTGGAATTTGAAGGGCAAAATGTGATTTGTTGAACAACTGACACTAGCTTGCTCAAACAAGTGAGCCAAGCTGTAACTCCAATGTATTTACTAACATTCTGTGTAGGAGTTGGTCTAGGGAGCTCCAAAATCAGTTGCTCTCTGCATACCAAAATAAAACAATACTGCAGAGATGCCGTGAGCTTCTTTCTGTGTGGGTGGGTAATTTCTGCATGTCTCATAAAATTATAGGGTTTCTTTCTTTCCCTCCCACAGAAGCAGACCTAAAATGTGTGTCCCCAGAAGAGATGCAGAGATGTAATAGGCAGCCTCATTTCAATGAATGGGTTCTTTGGGCACCCCTGGAAGTCTAATTATTTCTTGCAGTCTTGGGATGTAGGTAACTATGAGGCCTGGAACGGGTCCCAGAGATCTGGGGGTTCAAATGCCGTTGTGTCCCCACTCTGTTGTTCTGTGCCATTTCTGCTAAACCCAAGCTTGTCTCTGGATTAACTTTGAAGTAATAT